ATCTATCTATCTATCTATCTATCTATCTATCTATCTATCTATCTATCTATCTATCTATCTATCTATCTATCTCTCCCCCTCTCAATTCAATTCTGGGAGTTGTGCCAGAGGTGGCATGGAGCACCCTCTCTGTGGGCATGCGAGCTATTGCCCAGTTCAGCTCTGTCGTGCTCGCATGCGCCTACTGCTGGCCAGCTAGTCTTCAGGTCCCTGCCATGCACGCGTGGGGTGCGGGCGCATTGCATTTTGCGGGTTCGGGAGCATGGATGCATTTGTGCTCAAGCACGAGCGCTTTAGGCACTCGGTCTGGAAAAGGTTAGCCATCACTGCTCTAGCAGAATTGTGGGGATGGCTGGAAGTAGGAACGTCGAGCCGGGAATCGCTGCAAGGGGTACCAACCTCTGTCTCAGCTGCTATTTCATACTTGGACTTCCTGCCGGGTGTATTTCGTATCAGGTCGAACAAGCCATCTTCATCGATAACTTTCGTCCCTAGAGCCGATGCCTGCCAGCAAAATTCAGATTGAGGTTAAGTCGTATTTCTACAGTAGCTTCTGCGTCAAAACATTTGGAAAAACAAATAGGGGGAGGTCAACCTCTTCTCCAAAGCCCCAGCAGGCAGCCCCACAGGTGCTTTTTCAACAGGCAACTGGACTTTCTAACTTTTCTTTGAAGAGGTTTCGCTTCTCAACCAAGAAGCTTCTTCAGCTCTGACTGAGTGGTGGGTTACGGAAGGATTGATGCTCCTTGCAGACAGCTGGAAGTTTGCATTCATTTCGAGACCGTTGAGGCCATTTGGGGGTTTATCCAGGCCAGGCCTCCCTGATTTTCTAAAAGGATGCAAATGACCAGCTGTGTGCAATGAATATAAACCCTTCCACTCCCCACCAACCAGTCAGAGTGGAAGAAGCTTCTTGGATGAGAAGCGAAACGTCTTCAGAGAAAAACCAGAAAGTCCAGTTGTCTCTTGAAAAAGCACCTTTGGGACCCGGATGATGGAGAATCTCTATAGACGCTAGAAGGCAGAAGAAGAAGTGATGGATAGAAACTCACCAAGGAGAGGAACCACCTAGAACTACGGAGGAATTTCCCGACAGTGAGAAGCATTAACCAGTGGAAGGTGGATCTATGGGCCAGTGGTTCGCCTCCAGAGGTTGTGGGTGCTCCATCACTGGAGGTTTTTAAGAAGAGACCAGAGAGCTGTTTGTCTGAAATGACGTAGGGTCTCCTGACTGAGCAGGAGCGGGTTGGACTAGAAGTCCTCTAAGATCCCTTCCAACCCTTACAGAAAGGAAGGAGATCTCCTAGTTGTACAAGCAAAACGTCTCCGCAGCCAAAGAAGTTCTACTGAACTGTCCCAGCAGGTGGTGATGTGGTCAGAGGGCACTCACTAGGCTCACGGAGGGAACCCCGCCCAACACGATGTCTGCGTATCGCAATGACTTGCCTTTTCACACTTGGACAGGCCACAGTCACGCCCTTTCACAAGGTAATTGGTCTTCTTGCTGATGTTTCCGGTGACTTTACCCCCGTAGCGCTCAATCAGGGACTTGGCCTCGTCCCGTTCAATCGATTCAAAGATTCCGGTAATCACAAACGTCATGCCTTCCAAGCAATTTTCACCACCCTAAAATAACAACAACAACAATAATGTGGTAAAGTCCAAGAATTTTACAAGATACATCCACAAATTGCAGCTTCCTGCAATAACACCAGTGGAACTGCAAAAAACCTGCGCTACTCAGAACATCGTATATTTTAAGAAGGTACTTGGTTGATACCTAGGACGCTGGCAGCAAACCAAATCAACCACTAGCACCAGTCACTGGTATTTGTGATGCATTTTTGAATGTTCAGTTGGCCGAGTTTCATGTTTAATGAATAAAGTATAATAATAAGAAGGTGGTAAAGGTAAAGGTTCCTCTCTCACATGCATGCTAGTCGTTCCTGACTCTAGGGGGCAGTGCTCATCTCCGTTTCAAAGCCAAAGAGCCACCGCTGTCCGAAGACGTCTCCGTGGTCATGTGGCCGGTATGACTCAATGCCGAAAGTGCATGGAATGCTGTTCCCTTCCCACCAAAGGTGGCTCCTATTTTTCTACTTGCATTTCTTACGTGCTTTCGAACTGCTAGGTTGGCAGAAGCTGGGACAAGTCATGGGAGCTCACTTGATTACGCAGCGCTAGGGATTCAAACTGCCGACCTTTTTGATCGACAAGCTCAGCATCTTAGCCACTGAGTCCCTCATAATAATGATAATAATACCAGAGGCAAATAAATAAATAAACAATACCAAAGGGGGGAAAAAGGGAAGACCAGAAGGCTTAAATTGTGGGGTTAACCGGTTACAAAGCCTAGAGAGGCATCTGAGAATATTATTTAAAGGAAGAATTGCCTTCTTGGCTCGGTTTTTTAAAAGACTCACTTGTGGTATTTCTTTTGAGCCGAGGGCCTTCGGACCTTCTCGATTGAGGAAGCTTCTGTAGGCCGTGTAATTGGTCCGCTTCTTTTCAGCAGAATCCTCGGGACTGATGGACTTCAAAAGAAAAAAAAAACAGAACCCAGTGTGTATGTGATATTTTTTTCAAATTCTGCTTGGGTCAATCTTGGCAAAGGAGGTTGCGTTCATAAGGAAACGAAAATTGTCCATTTTTGGACTTTTAAGAGGCTGGGGAGAGACTCTCCAACTTCTACATTCAACACTCCACCATCCCGAAGTGTTCACACCAGGGATGTCCATCTTTGGCAATCTTAAGACTTGTGGACATCAACTTCCAGGATCCTGGTTGTTGAAGTCCACAGATCTTAAAGGTTGCCAAGATTGGACACCCCTCGGTTACACAAAAAGAGACCGACTGACTGAATGAGCTTTTTCACCTGCAGCAGTTACTAAATTTGAGCATTTACTGTTCTTATACTGAGTCTTTATTGATTAGCCCTTCGGCCGTATCAAAGTACGGTTCTTATATGGCCATGATGGCGAACCTGTGGCAGAAAGAGCTCTCTCTGCGGGCACATGAGCCGTTGCCCCAGCTCAGCTCCACCGCGCATGTGTGCATGCCTCCTGCCAGCCAGCTGATTTTCAGGTCTCGGCCACGCATGTGCCTTCCTCCCAAGTCGACCCCTGTTGTTTAGCTCTTCCCTTCATCTGGCAACTCTGCACGCACTGGGAACAGGCTCCAGCTGTTCTTCTGCCTCACTGATGTCTGACTCCGAAGGAAGCCGATAACTGGCATACGTCCCTGGTTCCCTCTCTGCCTCCCACACAGAGCCCTCCTCAGAGCCTTCCCCAGACTCCAGGACTGGCCCATCTTCCTCCCCAACCTCCTCACTGTCTGAATCTGCTGCCAGCTCAGCTGGCAGGCCACAACACATTTGCTGATAGAGTCATCCATATAACAGTGATGGCTAACCCTTTTCCCATCGCGTGCCAAAAGCGGGGGCAGCATAGGGGGGGTCGTGCACGGGCGTGCCCACACCCATAATTCTATGTGTACAACCCTCCGTGACCTTCACTTCCGGTTTGCCCATAGGGCCATTTTTCGCCCTCTGGAGGCTTCAGGCGGCTTCCCTGAAGCCTCCGGAGGGAGAAAAAAGGCCCAATGCGCAAACCGGAAGTCTGTCCCCCAACTTCCGGTTTACGGGTTGGATTGTTTTTCACTCTTTGGAGGCTTCCGGGAAGCCTCTGGAGGGAGAAAAACGGCCAAAAATGAAGGCCAAAGTCAGCTAGCGTACACTGGAGCTGACAGGGCAATGCCTCGCGTGCCCTAACAAATGGCTATGCATGCCACCTGTGCCAGGCTTGCCACAGGTTCGCCATCGCGGAGCTAGGACATGAATGCAAGGGAAGTACAGTGGTTGTCGTTCAGGGTCGTCTTTCTCTGGTGGCAAAACCTATGAAAAGGTTTTAAACCTATCGCTCCGTTTCTTTCGGTTCCACGGACAGCCATGGAAGTCACGTTTGAACTGTGGGGTCCTTGGTGGTCTCCGAGCTCGGTGCTTTTCTTGCAAACATTTCATTACCAAACTAGGCAGCATAATCAGTACTAGGAGCGAGTGTATATAATTTAAAAAAAACACCACACCAAATCCCTCCTTTCTCACACTGATGAGGTTACCTAATTGGGTCATAAAACGTCTGCCAAAAAAAAAGCAATCACACCACCACAAGCTCAGAGCACAAAGGAGCTCGTAGACATTCAAAAGTCTTTCCTTGGGGTGTTTCTCCGACCTACCTTGGATTGTTCGGGAGAAACCTTTGTGGGTGTCTTGGTTTTGGGCGAAATGTTTTTTCCTG